TCAGATATTTTACATATTTTAAATATGTCAAAGGTTAAATATAAAATGCATTGATCACTGGTTATTATATATGGTGTTTATGATGAATATATATGATGTTTATTGCGAATGTTATTTATGGTATGAACTACTAAATGTTAAATTATATTGATATACATTTCCATGGATGGACTAAAAATAGATTATATTCCCAAGTAAGTCATTGAGGGACAGGGTGTAGTTGGCATCCATAGAGTCAAAAGTAGGGTTGGGTATCCAGATTAGCACTAGAGTGTATACTCAAGACACTTAGTGCATGTGGTAGGCACAACCTTATGTGTTATATTTGATTTAGTACTAGAGTGTATACCCAAGACACTTAGTGCAGGTGGTGGGAATGACCTTATGTGCAAACACTTCGATGCATATTTGACTTAAGTACCAAGGAACCTCTGGGTTTAAATTAGGCTATGGTTTATTGTTAATAATTGATATATAGGTGAATAAGCATCTTATGGAACAAATGGAAAATATATTGGTAAGAAATTTATGTGATTCATATTATGTTAATATTAGTAGCATGATCGAAAATGCAGGTAAAATGATCATAATGAATTGAATATTATTATTGTTTACATTTATGTGTTGAATTTCCTTGAATATTTCTATGAATGCCTCACTAAGTGTATACTTAGCGTGTGATGATTTTCATGCATAGGTAAAAGATAATGAGAAGAGCAAGGAGCCGAGCTTGGCATCAAACACCAAGGAATATTTATAGGTAAAACTAATGACATCCTATCATGTTCTAAATTTTCTAGTTTACACATATTGTTAGGATAATTGAAGAGGCTCAATGGATAACCGAAAAAGTGCAAAGAAGTTTATTTGATAGAATTGAATTTAGGGAGTAAGGAGAACAAAAAGATAAGACAATTTGGCACAAGGATTTAAAGTGGTTCGACTTATCAACCAAGTCTACATCTACTACCTTAGCTCCTCACTAAGTATTTTCTAACAAATTCACTAATTTGTTATTTCTTTTCAAGGACAAGGAGATAACCTTTACAACTCCCTATCTTTTCAATGGCTAAGATAGAACCAAAACCCTTTACAAAGGAAAAAGAGTGTAAACAAATAAACCTCTAGAAAGGAAGGTGTTTACAAATTAAAAGTTCACAAAACACAAATATTTACAAGAGAATTGGAATGAAGAGTGAAAAGCTCTTATATTGTGTTTGATTGCTTGGATAAATGTTATAATTTATCTTGTGTTTGATTGCTTGGATAGGTGTTCTAACCCTTCTTCAAGTGTCTTTAACTTCTATTTATGTGTTGGAATGTTGTTGTGGCCATTTCTAGCCGTTTGAGATTGTTTGGAGCCATTGGGGGACCAATTTTTGTGCAAAACAAAGTTACCCAGACCAAGGGGTATCGGTACTCCCTTTTTGGTACTCCCAAAGGGAGTACCGACACTACCTTTGTTATTTTTAAATCAACTAGCCATTGGGACCTGATGGTATCGATACTATGCCTATGGTATCGGTACTACTATACATAGTAGTATCGGTACCCCTTTGGGTATCGGTACCATTTTTGCATTATGAAATCGGAGCAAAGCTGGTAGTATCGGTACTACCTAGTGAGTATCGATACTTCCCTTACCTTTGGTATCAGTACAATATGAACAATATTGGTACTTGATCAATTGGTATCGATACTGTAAGAACAATATCAATACTACTTGTACAGAAAATTGTTTTGTGCTCAATTCCAAACTTTTAAGGACTTTGAATTATTTTTGAGAACTTTGAATAAATTCAATTCAAGTCCAAAAACATTTTGCCTTAAATTGTTATATTAAAATATAATTCACATATAACTTAAACAAAAACATGCAGTATAATTAAGTATTTACCAAAATACCCACAAGTCAACCAAACACGACATTCAGTAAATAGTTATATCATTAAAAGAATCATTGAGGTAATATCAAATTATCTTTAAGTCCTAATAATTTTGGCTTTAAAATTCTATAGGCAATTATCTCATCATAGGTAAGTACAAAGTCTCGGTAATTGTTTGTCTTTCTAATTGCCATAAAAAACAGATGTCATAGAAAACTTGATTGAATAACATGAATAATGCAAACTCAAAGCATGACATAGTAAATGCAATATGATAAAATGAATAACAACCCCCCAAACTCGAGATGAACATTGTCCTCAATGCATGCAAAGCAAATGGGTTAATCAGAAAGGTCATCATCTTGATTGATAAGTATCTTTTGGGCCATTTATTTGATTCGTTTGCTAACTTGTGGTGGTAGGGAGTGTGTTGTTGATGCTGCATTATGAACCCTTATGTCTTCAACCTAATCGCTTGGTGCATTCTCGTGTTCAGTCTCTTCGATGGTGGAACTTTTGTTCTTTTCTAGTACGACCAGTTGTGATGTCATTGGTTTAGAGATAGACTCATTTGAATCTGATGATAGTAGGTTCATTCGTAGTTACTTTGCCTTTATGATGTGCAGCAGTTGTTGTGGCATCTTCAGGCACCAAGGCAAGTAATTCAGCAGGGAAAATTGGAATAGGCATGGTACTATTGGGATACTTGTTCATTTTCTTGAAATCTTATCCTAAAATTAAAACAAAATAGAAAGATAAGTATTAAATGAAAGGAAAAACTAAATTAAATATATAAAAAATAAATAGGAATACAACTTAAATATAAAAATAAAATCCTAAAAAATAAAAATAAAATAAATAAAAAATGAAAAAGTTAAACAAATAAAAACAAGTGAAACATTTCCGTCGGTTGACTTTAAACAACTGAAGGAGAGCATATTCATGCTTCTCCAAGAGTAACCACTTCCTTGTCATGCTCAACATGAGAACCAATGTAGTGCTTTAATTATTGTCCATTGACTTTAAACTCATGTCCGTCGGTTGTGGACTTAATTATTACGGTACTATTGGGGAAATGTTTCACTACCTTGAATAGCCTAGACCATCTCGATTTTAGTTTCCCCGAAAATGTTTTAACCGAAAATTGAGAAGTACTAATTACCCTGGTAATGGGTTCAATTCTAACATGAGAGGTTGCTCACTAGAAGATTTTCTAAGTTTACCTTTCTTACCTGGGTAGTATAATGCTTTAAAATATTTACCCGGATGACTCACTATCCAATTTGCTTTATCTTGCTCTCCATATTTCGGTTCTTCAATTTTCTCTGATTAGACAAAAGAATTATTGTAACAATTCTCCTCTACTTTAAAATTAAATTTGGTGGTGGTGTGAATGCCTTGGCATTCCTCTGGATCATCAGTATGCTTTATGGTTGGAAAAACATTCGGTTTGACTTGCTGGTCATTCACTCTCATAGTGAGTTCACCCCTTTCGACATCAATTAAGGTTCTTCATGTTACTAGGAATGGTCTTCCAAGGATAATAGGTGCGAACTCATCTGTCTCAAAATCTAAAACAATGAAGTTAACGTGAAAAATAAATTTATCAACTCTTGTCAGTATATTTTAATTTCCCTCTAGTTGCACATAGGATCTGCCTGCATGTTGTAGCATAATTGTTGTAGGTCTCGCCTTCTCGATACCCAATATTTTGAACATATATTTAGGCATAAGGTTTAAGCTCACTCCAAGATCGTACAATGCCTTACTGACATAGTAATTTTCGATTGCACATGGTATTGTGAACCTACCGGGATCTTATAGTTTGGGTGGCATTCAGTTGTGCAACATGGACATGCATCCCTCAGTCATAACAACTGTTTCAAACTCTTCTAGCACCGTTCTCTTAGAAATCACGTCCTTAAGAAACTTAGCATAGTTTGATATTTTCTCAATCACCTTAACCAACGAAAAAGTTGATGTGAACTTGCTTTAAGATGTCCAAGAATTTCTTGAACTGATATTCTTGTTTTTTCTTTTCAGCCTCTGAGGGAATGAAAGTGGAATTTGAAACACCTTATTCTTCCCATCTGTTTAAATTTGATTGATGGACTTACCGCTGTATTTGGAATTATCGAGGCATGTGGACTTTCCCGGGCATCCTTTGATTTATCAATATCGATTAGAGCAATATTGTTAGATGTATCTTCTTGTAAATGGAACTGCTTTGCTGGTTGAATTCTTCTCGTGGGTTGTGGATGGGTTTCAGTTAGCTTTCATCCACTCTTGGTGGTGATTACCTTACACTTCTCATGGCCTACTCCCTTTGCGACCTCAAAATTGCCGGGTAAACCGCCTAGTGGGCTTGTGTTCAAATTTTGGGAAAGTAATCCGACCTGTGTCTTTAAGGATTTCAAAGCTGCCTTTTAGTTCTACAGTCTCATCTTAGTCCTGTTAATGAAAGAGTCAATCTTTTTCAAGAAACTATTATTCTCAACCATGTAATATTTAGTTTTTAAAATAAAATATTTGAGAGTATTTTCCAAGGAGCTAGATGGTGTTGATTGTTGTTGCAACATATGTTGTATTAGCATGTTCTATTGGAATCCCGATGCTTGTGAATACTAATTGTTCTGATTGAGGGCATTGTTCAAGTTGCTCCCTAAGAAATTAGGGTACTCCCTCCAAGCTAGAGTGTACGTGTTGGACATCGCGTTGTTGTTCTGGTTATAGTTTCCAATATAGAAGCTAGATTCTTGGTTATATGGACACTTAAAAGAATCATGGTTACCATTGCACAACTCACAAAAGGAATTTACTACCTTGATCTATTGTGGATTGTTTGGTCATTGTATATTCTTAAACAATTTGGTTAAGGTAGCGAACTGTGCAGAGATAGTGTCAATTGAATCAAGCTCATTTATTGTGGCATTACGTCTCACTCCTCTTTTTTTATTTGGGAACTGATAATCATTCTTGGTGAGATAATTTAGAATCTCCATTGCTTCCTCTGGTGACTTGTTGATGAGCATGACATTTTCCAAAGCATCTAGAATCATCCTCCTGTTTTTATTTATTGAGTTGTAGAACATCATCACTTGCGTCTATACTGGGAATCTGTGCATGGGACATTTGTGTAAAAGCTCCTTATATCGCTCCCAAGCCTCGTACATGGATTCATCATCTTCCTACTGAAAAGAAGTGATGTCGTTACGTAATTTATCAGTTATATTTGTTAAATAAAAAAGAATTCAACTTTAAAGTTCAAACATAACATTGGAGAGTAAGTGGTAATTTTTACATTAAAAACCATTTGAAAAATCAAAGCTCCCCCTCAAAAAGTGTATTCCAAATAAAATTTAGCTTTAAAATCTTGACACTTAAACAAAATTGAATTTCAACAAAGATTAACAAAATGTTAGAAGCTCATGAAATTCAATATATCCAAGTCTAAAATACTTTATGCAATACCAATAGTTAAAATTAATTACATATGCATAAATTTTTTCACAAATGTTATGCATTTAAAGAATTTGATATCAATTGTTAGAGAGATATCTTTAACATTTTGAAACATGTGCATAAACATTAAATTTTAGGTCAAAAATTTTAAAATGTGTAAAATCAAAGCACTTGAAAAGTTGATATTAATTGTTAGAGAGATATCATTTGCATTGAAAATCAATTTTGACCAAAATTCATAATGATGAACTAAAAATTATGAAAAATCATTTAAACTTTAAAATGTTCATCATAACATCTTTTTAACATACACTAGATGAAAAAAATCAAACCGTTAAAATCAGAACTCATGCATGCTTAAATCAAAATGAGCAATCAAATAATCAAAATCAAAATCATTAAGCTTAGAGGTTACCCATTCCTTTTCAAGTGTGGCTAGAGCATTTGAGTATCTTCATCTTCATCACCATTGCTCCCACACACCTACAAGAGACATTTAAGTATATTTCGGTATCCAAATTGCTTTGGATCCTTGAACATTAGTTTCAATGCCCCTTGTTCCTTTAGGAACCCATACTTGTCTAATTTTAAAACGTTTTCATTTCTTCAAAGGACAAGTATGTTCATAATGACCATAAAAATGGCAATGTGAGCATTTTTCCATTTTTAAACAGAATGAGTTGTTTTGAGAAATTATTTGTTTTTCTTTTGTTAAGCTCTCTAGATCAACTTTCAAATCAAAATTGTCTTTTTTTTCTAAATCTTTGATTTTGACTTTTGAAAACTCTAAATAATTTTTCAAAATTTCATTTTATTTTTCAAAATCAATTTTTGCTTTTAAAACCAAATCATTTTCAACTTTGAGTTTTGAAATTAATTTCTTATATTTGGAATTCAATGTCTCAAATTACAAATACAACTCATTATAAGCATATTGTAACTCATCAAAAGAAAGTGAATTTAATTCATTTGAGTTAGAAGATAACTCGGGCTCTTCATGAGTGGCTATGATGCATATGATGGCTACTTCATCTTCATCATTGGAGTCATCTTTATCACTCCAAGCTGCCACAAATGCCTTTTTCTTGCTTGATCCATTTTTCTTTAGGAGATGGCATTCATACTTGACATGCCTCTTTCTTTGACAATTGAAGCACACCGAGTAGACCCTTCTTCTTGGTTGATTCATGCTTCACTTCCTTGGAAGACATGAATCTTTTGAACTTTTTAAAATGCTTGGCCATCTCTTCTTCTTCATTATCATATTCATCCACCTCTTCACTTGAATCTTCATAACTCTCATTGGTGGATTTGAAGGTAAGTCTCACCTCCTTCTTCTTTTCCTTCATCATATTCCTCTTCCTTCACCATCAACTCATGAGTGAGAAGAGAAATATTCAATTCATCGAGAGTGAGAGACTTTAGGTCTCTAACTTCGATAATAGCCGTCTTCTTTGATTGTCAAGACTTTGGAAGAGAGTAGATTATCTTCCTCGTAAACTTCTCATTGGAGATAACTTCTCCAATTCCTTTGAGACCGCTGACAATCACGAAAAATCTATCTGTCATAGCTTTGATGTCTTCATCGGGTTTCATCTTGAAATTATCGTAGCTATGATTGAGAAGACTTATCTTCGTTTCCCTCACTTCATCGGTTCTCTCATGAGTGACTTGGAGCTTATCTCATATCTCCTTGGCATTAGAACAATAGGAGACTCTTCCGTATTCATCCAGGCCTAATGCACAAAAGAAGACGTGCATAGCCTTGGCATTAAGCTGGAACTTCTTCTTCTCTCCATCACTCCAATCGTCCATCTCGCCGGTTGGAATGGTGTATCCTTTAATGATCAAATTCCAAGCTTCTATATTATTGGCTTGAATGAAGAGCATCATCATATTCTTCTAATAGGAATAATTTGCTTCATTGAAGTAGGGTGGCTTGTTGACCGATTGTGAATCTTCAATGTAGTATGCACCGGAGGTTGAAGCCATTTCTTCTCGGTTGTTTCAAGAATTGGTAGAGCTTCTTCTAGGAATGACTCAAGGTGGTTAAACCTTTTATATGAGTTAGGCTCTGATACCAATTGTTATGATAATTGAAGAGGCTCAATGGACAACAGAAAAAGTGCAAAGAGGTTTATTTGATAGAATTAATTTTAAGGAGTAAGGAGAACAAAAAGATAAGACAATTTGGCACAATGATTTAAAGGGTTCAACTTATCAACCAAGTCTACATCCACTACCTTAGCTCCTCACTAAGGATTTTCTAACAAATTCACTAATTTGTTTTTTCTTTTTCAAGTACAAAGAGATAACCTCTACAACTCCCTATCTTTTCAATAGCTAAGATAGAACCAAAACCCTTTACAAAGGAAAAAGAGTGTAACAAATAAACCTCTAAAAAGGTAGGTGTTTACAAATTAAAAGCTCACAAAAACACAAATATTTACAAGAGAATTAGAATAAAGAGTGAAAAGCTCTTTTCAAGTGTTTGATTGCTTGAATAGGTGTTCTAACCCTTTTTCAAGTGTCTTAAACTTGCATTTATGTGTTGGAATATTGTTGTGGCCATTTCTAGCCGTTGGGGGTTGTTTGGAGCCGTTAGGAATCAATTTTCCTACAAAATAAAGTTGCCTAGACCAATGGGTATCGGAACTCCTAAAGGTAGTATCGGTACTACCTTTGTTATTTTTAAACTAGCCGTTACTAGCCGTTGGGGCATGATAGTATTGATACTATGCTTATGGTATCGGTAGTACTATATATAGTAGTATTGATACCCCTTTGGGTATCGATACCATTTTTGCATTATGAAATCTGAGTAAAGCTGGTAGTATCGATACTACCTAGTGAGTATCGATACTTCCCTTACATTTGGTATCCGTACCATATGAACAATATCTATACTTGTTCAATTGATATCAATACTGTAAGAACAATATCGGTACTACTTGTACTTAAAATTATTTTGTGCTCAATTCCAAGCTTTTAAGGATTTTGAATTATTTTTGAGAACTTTGAAAACTTTGAATAAATTCAATACAAGTCCAAAAACATTTTGCCTTAAATTGTTATATCAAAATATAGTTCAACACGTATGTAAGCAAGAAATGTCTACAAAATGAATATTAATCGTATCAATAAATTTTGTTACATTAAATAATGTTTTAAATATTAATTAATTAAATTTTAAATCAGACAGTGTTTAGATAGTTTTATTTATTATAGGAAACAAAACAGAACTGTCTATTATTGCTTGGAAACCATATTTGAAATAAAATTTGAAATATTATATTTTGATTTTCTATGATTAAATATTTAAAATAAATGTTATAATTTGGAAACAAGTGAAATAAATAAAATTTTACCCATTTTGGGTTAAAAATATTTTTAATAATTGATGTGACATCTTTAATTCGTAATAGTATATGTATACGTCTTAAGGGTGTTACATTTATTGGTATCATAGTTACATGTTTTGCCGATTATAGGACTAAACCAAGCTTGGTTTGAGTTAAAAAGTGTATACATCCCAATAGGATGTCATTGTTATTGATTTGGTGTTTGTAAGGTTTGATTGATGTCACTCCTTACTCATTAAGGTGAATAAAGGTTGTGCATGTATTAGATGTGTGTAATCGAGGGTTTCAAGTAAGTGACCAAGCAAGAGGTTCATGAGTAAACGAGTAGTGTTAGTAATGTAGTTAACCGTAATGATCATGTTAGTCTAATTATGATGATGCATCGGCATAATAGAAACTGCCAATGTAAGTTTAAGAAATTCCTCATTCATACATAAGTATAGTATGCATTAAAGAATGTGACATTATGATAGAATTGATCCTAAGTGACATGTTTACGACTAACCCTTTAGGTTAGAGTGCAAGGGTGAATTGTATTTGTAGACAGTAACAATCTGGTAAAGATTCAAAGTGTTAAGTTTTAATGGACTTGATAGAATTACCTCTCGAAGGTAATTTTTAGAATGTATTGATTACCCCTTACCATGCCACAATAAATTATCTCTTGAAATGATTGATCTTAAAGAATTTGAAAAGTTTCGAGATATTAGTGGTAGGGAGAAAGAGTAAATATGTTTCCTTATGTGATTTTAACAGTAACTGTTATGAAATTATTACTCTAAGGATGTCAAGCATTCTTAGTAATTGAAGTGGATGCTCAAAATTTTATAGTTAACTTGAAAGATATTGCAACTTTTTGAGAGTATCCTAATGTGTATCAACAAAAGTTACTTAGATTACTTTCAGATTGAGATGTAGAAATTAAAATAGAGGTGCTACCGAGAACTGCGTTTATTTCTATTACCTCGTATTGATTGTCTCCCGTAGAGACCAGAGGCTTAAAAGGCAAATTTATTAGAATTGTTAAGGTCCAATATTTACAAGACCAAGTGTATCATATGGGATGCACCAATGCTATTTGAGAAAAAGAAAGACATATGAAATTATGCATGGATTATCACCAGTCAAAATAAGGTAACAGTGAATAATAAGTGTCATATTCCAAGGATTTATGATCTTTTGCTTTGTTAAAAGTTGCACTGATGTTCTCCAAGATTGATCTCCTATATGGAAAGTATTAGTTAAATATAAGGAAAATATTTCTAAGATAATTTTCAGAATTCAGTATGGAGACTACGGTTACAGTAATGTCGTTTGGTTTAACGAATGTTCCTGCGACATTTATGGATTTGATAAACTGAGTATTTCAATTATACTTGGATTAATTTATGGTAGTG